TTTTAAGATTAAAAAATATACACATTGCCCATGCGGCTTATAGAAGCGCAGAGACCTCTTGCCAAATTGGTGTTGGAAAAATTCAAAGCCGTTTTCTCAGCTAACGTAGGCTTGGAGACAATAAGGGGTGTGGATAAAATTGTAAAGGGCGAGGAAAACGCCCTTATTCCTGATAATATGAACGTTTCAAACGTTCCATATTTAAATTGGGCTCCACTTGTATCAACTTACGTCGAGCGCACATTTAGTACATTCAAGGCTTTTCTTCGCGAAAATCGAATGAAAATGCTGCCAGAAAACTTCAAAATGCATCTTGTGGTTCAATGTTACTACAACTATACAGATTAAAGTTTTATGAGTTAGAAACCTGAAAGGATAAAATAGTCAAAGATTCAAAGTACAAATTTTTCATATAATGAAACTAGTTCATAGTTTTTCTCTTTTTACTTGTAATATAAATGTATTTTTTGATTGTTCTTCGTATTTTCTGTCTTCTAGGTGCCTTATTTTGCCTTTTCCTGCCTTTTTTGCTATTTTGTTTTGCCTTTTTTTGCCTTTTTTGCAACACCTAGTGCCTTTTCCTGCCTTTTTCGCTATTTTATTTTGCATTTTCCAGTCTATTTTGTTATTTTATTTTGCCTTTTTTATAGGTTTTTAGGTCCTAAAAATCCGTTCCCTGCTTATTACGCTTCTTATAATTGTAACCTAGAAAATTTTTAGCATTCCGATTACAGTAACTGTAGTTATAAAATAATTTATTGCGAAATGGATAATTTAACTTTAACGATGATGGTAAATAAATTATTTTCGATGAATTGGTACGATGAACATAAAATAATGTCCACTTGCGCTCCTATCGCAGATAAGGAAGATGATTCGAGTTTTGAGCAAATTTCGCCCAATAAAGGCACCTTCGAGATCCTTGTCCAAAATCAACTCTACAGTGACATTAGCGACTCGTCAAAATTTGGGAAGCCCATGACTTGCGGAAGGAAGCTGCTATACCCATATAACCTTGACCTCGTCTGGTCCGGTTGAAAGGCAGGAATTATAAATTCACCCAGGCGGCAATCCTTAGTCAATTTTTCTTTTGAAAAACTAATTTTGTTAAAAACAAATGCAAAAAGACGAAAAAAATTCGCGATATACATACATTCAATCAAAAAAGTTTAGGTGGTGTTTTGGATTTTGACCAACGCTGCACAGAGTGGAGATTAAACTTTTTTCGTGACAAAATCTAATATCTCGAGAACGAAACAATTTCCCGGAAAAAAATGCCTTGAGCTTTCAAATCACCTTCAAAGTTAAAGCTTGGAACACATTGGAAACGACGGGCTACGGACCACAGATAATTATTTTGGCGACGACACGGCAACACTGCGACTAGCCAAAAATGTAGCTGTGACCAGATTGGATCTATTTCTATTTCTCTAGCGACAAAGATTCTTCCTCTTCTTTTATGTCAAACTCAAACAAATTCATGATGTCGCTGCCGCGTTCAAAAAATCATATCGCCGTCGACATGGCGTTTAGATTATGTAAATAAAACCTTAATGTCGTGTCGTGTGGTGATGTCGTTTTCAATGTGTTCAGAGCTTAAGGGGGTTTCAATTGTTTTCATTTTTTTACCTGAAAACAGCATTCAGTGAATTTTTCAAAAAGTTTAAAACACTTATTTCTGCCTTTCTTCTGCCAAGGAATCGATTTTTGTGATCGAAGGAACCGGAAAAAACTTCTTAAATTTTTTAAGAGATAACATACTGTTTTTGGGTAAAAAAAGTCAATAAAAAAAAAATTTTAAAGTCATTTAAAATCATTATGATTACACTAGTTTATAGCAAAAATGTTCTATAGATGTCACTATCCAATTCCTTTGTATAATTGCTCGGTGATACCGAAAATCTAGATAATTTTTTTTCTATGGATAAGTTTTCGAGATATTTGCAATTTACCGTTATTCACTTAATCACGTATATCTAACGAACCAATTGAATAATCGTAATAAAAAATACGGAAAATGAAAGCTAATAAAATTCTCCATAAACCGTATGTACATCACATTTCGATAGACCTGTTAGTTTCTGAGAAATTAATTAATCATTTCTGACAGTTCTTGCTTTCAATGCAAACACTCCGCCTACTTAGGTGTACGTGGCGTATGAGTACCACTATTTTCTGCGCATATTTCATACAACAAATTCTTGCGCATTTTCATTTCACCAATCCTTGCTTTCTTATTTATACATAGATTTTCTTCATAAGTAGCTTAATTTTTTTCTAAAGGAACAGGCTTTAACACAAGTGCAAAACATTTACACAGAAACTGTTATATTTTTGGAGAACAAAAACAAAATTCAAATTTGTGATCCAGTGTTATTAATCATTAGGTTCTTTCCCGTACACAACGCGGGATCCCGCGGGTGCCCAAAAGAGCCCAGAAATCATTCCCGTACGCAACAAAATGGATAATAGAGAGCGAAAGTTGGAACGTATTGGATCGTAAGTGTCTTCTTATTCCTGCCCGAAACAGCCCGGACTTTTTCTCCGGGTAAAAATGGATAAAGTGTCAAAATGCATATCAGCTGTTTTGTGTTTACACGTTGCCTGCATTTCCTTGGTGCTTTTAAGGAATAGTGAATAGCCTGTTGGTGTATTTTCAACCTTTATATACTTAAAATCAAATTTGTGAAACCAAAAATCAAAATTGTGAATCAATTTCCAAGAGTTTGCATTTAAGTGACAGAAACAAACACGACGTGAACCAGCTGTTCCTCAAATTCTGGGCACGAAATGTAGTTTTTTGCGTTCCCGTACTTCTGGATTATGTTCCATTTTTGAGAGCAAACTTTTCGCTTACTCTCTAATTACCGGATCCGGTCCGGATTGTAAGGGAAAGAACCTAATATTTAACACAATTGAGCAATTGTCTAAAATGTGCTTTTTAATCAAAAAGTTTTTTTTTGTATCATGAATGTATCGATTTAGCTCTCACTTTTGTACTATTATTAAACACTAGTGAATCCGCATGGCTTTAAAACGCCCAAAATTTAATTTCAAAAACTTAAAAAATATTCCAAATGTTAGTCAAAGTTATAAAAGATCCGAGTGCCATATTTCATCAGCCGTTTCTGAGTGGAGAGTAGTCTCGCATAGTACATGTTTTTATTTTCATCGAAGTTAAAACTACCCTATGCCGATGAAAAATTTCTTAATTAAAAAAATCTAAGTTTTTCATACATTTTAAACAGGGCAACCCTATTCCAACACCTCAAAAATATTGTTAGCGTTCAAACTAAAGATTTCTTACCACTCCTTCGTTTGACATTCATATTTTGATCTTTCGTATAACTTGTGTATAAGTAAAATAAATTCGACATTTGTAGCAGGTGGCAGCCCTCTTCAAAATATTTTCAAACTACTACTTTCTGAAACCCCTTTCATTTGGCACCCATATGGTGATACATATGTATCTTACCTAATACGATTTCTTAAACAGGCAACCCTCCTATAGATCAGCTAAGAAACAGAGCTTCTCAAAATTATTTCGATTGATACCCAGATTGTAATAATTTAACTCTTTTCAAAAAAGTAAAACGCTATTGCATATCCACAGTTTAAGGCTTTTAGTTAGACGCCTGCGGATTTGATGACACTGATTATTAAATAATTTGATTTTAATTTTTTAACAGGTGGGAACCCTTTTCCAAAAACTAAAACCAGTTACCACATCTACAGACCAAGAGCTTTAATTTGACTTCTCATACACAGATATACAGATCTTTTAACCTGAACAAAAAATCCCTTCGCGTATTAAATATATAGATAATGCGGCCGCTGTGGTATAATGGTTAGCGGTGCGCGGTTCAAGCCCTGATCAAATCAACAAAAAATATAGAAAAAGGTTTTTTCTTAACAGTGATCGACCCTCGGCAGGCAGTGGCAAGCCTCCGAGTGTATTTCTGCCATGAAAAAAAGGCTTCTCATAAAAATACAATCGCCGTTCGGAGTCAGGGTAAAACTGTAGGCCCCTTCTCTTTCTGTGACAACATCAAGGCGTACGCCACAAGTTGGAGGAGAAGTTCGGCCAAGCATTAACATACATATGTTATCTCTATTATTATTATTAAAAATAATGCGGATTATATTACACTAAGATATGAATCCTTAATTTATTTTCAAAACTGAATTTAATTTCTTAAAGTTATGAGTTATTAAAAGCCAAATCTGTTTTTATGCTATTATTTTTAAACACTTCTCAGAAATGCTCAAGAAAAGCCAAATTTTCTTAAGCAGTACGGAGTTCTTAAGAAATTTGCTAATATCGTTTTCTAAAGTTTTTGGTGAAGAAAGAGGACAAGGCCTCCCTTGTTTTCTATAGAAATATATACCCCTTTCATTATTTCGTAAAGAACAGGTGGGACAGCAGGCTGTGAAATATCAGATGTCAAAATTCCTTTGACACTGCTATTCACACACACGAAATAATAGCAATTTTTTCCTTCACCGTTTTCTTAAGAGGTCTATACTTAGCTTTATAAGTTGAAATAAGCAAAATAAGCATGGTCTTAAGCTTGGAAACCCTATATAAATAAAATAAGCAATTCCAAGCAAAAGTTTAAAACTTTGTGCCCTGATAATAACTTTCTTTAAAGCCCATGTTCGAAACCTGGTCTGGGCAACAACCAAAATCCATAGCGAACCTCTGAGTGTACTTTCTCAAAAGAAAAAACTTCTCTTAAAAAACATGGATTAAAATCGTCGTGCAGTAAATTTTAAGCATAGTTTTATTGAGGACATATAATGGCTAGAATTTGACTGTACTAAACAGATATTTACTCGTATTCCAAAAACGTTCGAACTTTTGTCCCTAATTATATAATTGAATTGATTCAATAGATTCTTTTATAATTGTTAAAATGAAAACTTTAATAAACTGACAGTCATTCAGTTCTAATATCACTGTTAAGTTTGTGGAAATGGTAATTTCTGTTACAACTTACCTGCATGGTATAAATCGATCAAGAGATGTTGATGTTGAAGCCGCTTCGAATGCGTTGAAGAGATTTCGAGCGACTGGACTACAATGTTTCAGAATACGCTTTTCATAATCAGGACTGAACATTTTCCAATGTTTCTTTTAAAAACTTTCTTCTTGCGTCGTCCAAGGAATGCTTTACAAAATATATGTATTTATATGTATGATTTTTGGTCTATTTGATTAGATTTAAAATTTGAATATGCTTATGTACGCATACTAAAGTGGGTAATAATAATCCAGCATAAGCCTCTAGAATTTCAAATTGGAATTATTTTCACTGATAGATTTACATATGTAGTAGATATGTACTTGCAATAGATTCCTAGTAAAATATATTTAGCATATGACACAAGTAAAGCGGACTTGTTATTCATGAGACCGACCTGCAACGAAAAAGCACAAAAATCATGTAGATATTTATCAAGATGTGTATCAATAATTTACAGCCTTACAGCCTATTTCAAATGTGTGTAAATAAATGAAATGTGTGTAAGCAAATTATACAAAAATTGTTATTAGAATTAACAGCAGGTAAATCAATTTATCAAAGTCACATAGCAAGTCAGCTGAAATATATTTGTTCAGCCACGAGGCCCCAACTACAAGAAAAAGCTACACACAAAGCATACAATGCCAGCACGTTCACCACGTTTATTCGCCCTGGTACGAGTAGGCGACACCTTACGTACAAGAAGAAAAATATCGAAAAGTTCGTTATGTGTGTTGGCATGCCACGGCCCATGTAGCTTAGACACAGAGAGCGAGCACATATCCAAACAAGTCTACTTTGACAATCAGTCAAGATCACTCATGGTCACACTAATCACAGCACTTTAATTCGTGGTGGCATTTTAAAGAATCATGAACAGAATTTTTAATGGTGAAAAAAAGCTTACAGCCGCACTCAGAGTCGTTTAATGATTACTTAAGGTGTCCCTCAGTAACGATTTGAAAAATTCCCTCTCAGAGTTATTTTATGATTCGTTAACAGCATTTAATGTACATTAAAGTTAAGTAAACAAAAAAATTTACTTAACTTTTTAACGAATGATTTTGATTTTTTTTTTTTTGTTTTCAATAAATTTCAATTTCGATAACGTTGCTGTAACAGTGGCAATGGCCCAGTGAGCAGAGCACTTTCGTATCATTCAAGAGATCCGAGCTCAATCCTCGGAAAAAAATTTTTTTAATACAATTTTTTTTAAGTTGTATTGCTTAAAAAATTCATATTTTTTATTTTATTTAACGTTTGGAAACTTTTTTGATTCATCATTTTTTCTTTTAGTTTCTGTTTCTCAAATTTTTAGTTTTTCCTGTTATAAAAAAATATTTTTTTCATTTCGTTTAGTTTTTAGAAAAGTTATTGCTAAACGATAAATCGATGGCTGAGTGGAAGATTGACCTATCTCGGCAGCCAGTTCAGTGGGAATTTTATAGAAAAACACCCTATCTAAGAATTTGGTTGAATAACGCCCTTTCTCAGAATTTGGTTCAAAAACGCCATATCTCAAACGAAAATACATTGAAAATAAGCTGAAATAGGGCGATTTTGAATCGGCAGCTGAGATAGGGCGTTCTTCAACTAAATTTCGAGATAGGGCGTTTTTCAATCAAATTCTGAAGAAGGGCGTTATTGAAAAGTTTTCTGAGATAGTGCATTGTAGAATGATCGATTATCCACTCAGCCATCGAAATATAATAACACTCTTAGCACATATTTCCCTTACTCATTCGAAATACAGAAAAGAGCTTTCAAGATAGTTGTCTCTCGAAAGACTGAGGTGAGTTGAAAGACAGATGCCAGAATTGGCCTGTTATTGGTCTTGTTTGTCTTTCAGCAAACAGTTTCTAAAAACTTAATTTAATTTAAAAAAATTGTTTCCTTTTTAAAGCAACAAAATCTATAAATCAAAAGAAAATTAGATCAAAAAAGCAAAAAAATTCAATAAGGGCAGTTTATAAAAATTGAACAAGAAAAAAAATAAATAAAAAAAGGAAAAAAAATGTTCCTGCCCTAGCACTCGAACTCGGATCTCTCGAATGGCACGCAGTGCTCTGCTCACTCAGCCATTGCGTCTGTTGAACCAGTGCGCGCAAAATTATATAAGTACTTATTTTTATATTTTACTAGCAGATCCGGCGAACTTCGTCCCGCCCAAAATAAATTTTTTGTACACGGTCAAAAATTTGGGTTTTAGTTTTTTTAATCTTTTATAGGCTACTTTTTCAACCAGTCANTCGAGATAGGGCGTTTTTCAATCAAATTCTGAAGAAGGGCGTTATTGAAAAGTTTTCTGAGATAGTGCATTGTAGAATGATCGATTATCCACTCAGCCATCGAAATATAATAACACTCTTAGCACATATTTCCCTTACTCATTCGAAATACAGAAAAGAGCTTTCAAGATAGTTGTCTCTCGAAAGACTGAGGTGAGTTGAAAGACAGATGCCAGAATTGGCCTGTTATTGGTCTTGTTTGTCTTTCAGCAAACAGTTTCTAAAAACTTAATTTAATTTAAAAAAATTGTTTCCTTTTTAAAGCAACAAAATCTATAAATCAAAAGAAAATTAGATCAAAAAAGCAAAAAAATTCAATAAGGGCAGTTTATAAAAATTGAACAAGAAAAAAAATAAATAAAAAAAGGAAAAAAAATGTTCCTGCCCTAGCACTCGAACTCGGATCTCTCGAATGGCACGCAGTGCTCTGCTCACTCAGCCATTGCGTCTGTTGAACCAGTGCGCGCAAAATTATATAAGTACTTATTTTTATATTTTACTAGCAGATCCGGCGAACTTCGTCCCGCCCAAAATAAATTTTTTGTACACGGTCAAAAATTTGGGTTTTAGTTTTTTTAATCTTTTATAGGCTACTTTTTCAACCAGTCATTAGTTTTAAGCAATTTTTAATATATTGTGGTTTAAATTTTAGTCCAAAAAATTTGTGGTTTAAAACTCAAACCAAAATGTTTTAATTGTAGTTTCTAGGTTTCATATATAGAAAATTTGGTTTAAAATCTAAACCGAAATAGAAAATGTTTGCACACAGCGAAATGTGGTGTTGATTCAAACTCAACATATGAAAGCACATTTACATGCGTGGCTGTAGCTGAGCCCAGCGGACCAAATGCTCGCAAATGATAACGCATGCGAGTGAAATATCTCGCATTTACCCAGAAAAACTCTCGCAAATGAATCAGGAAATGATAGCAATATGATTTATATGTCGTTCAGTTTGCGGCAGTGAAACTTTCATTTCCTATAGTTGGAAGGAATATCGTTACTGAGCATTTGGCGATATAATTTGCAAGGTTGTTTTGATATTTCTAGCGATAAGGATAAAATACTAAATTTGATACGTTTTCGATTCAAAATAGAATATAAAAAAAATATTTTTGCCGAACTGGCATTAATATCAAATAAGTATCGCAAAAGATATCACAAACGGTTCGCAAAAAATAAGGCTTGAAAGACTTTTATTTATTTTATTCCCCATTAACAAATATTTTTTATTATTAGTTAATGCTTCTTATTCGGACATAGAAGAAATTAAAAACTGAAATTTCACATACATAACTTAAAAGTTGGCTCCGCTGGCTTGGCCATGTCGTTCGGATGGACAGAAACGCTCCTGCTCTGAAAATATTCAACGCGGGCCGCGATGCTGGTAACAGAGGAAGAGGAAGGCCTCCTCTGCGTTGAAAAGACCAGGTGGAGAAGGACTTGGCTTCACTTGGCATTTCCAATTGGCGTCAGTTAGCACAGAAGAGAAATGACTGGCGTGCTGTTTTGGTCTCGGCCAAAATCGCTTAGGCGGTTACAGCGCCAATTAAGAAGAAGAAGAACTTAAAAGTATTGCGCACTTCTTTGGCAGCTTAAAGGAATCTATTTCATGAGTCTAAATAAATTAAACATTACGAAAACAAGGCACTCTTTAGCCATTGTGCATCTAAAAAATGTAACTAATGGAGACATTTATAGATGAAACTTCATTCCTTAAAGAAATTAATTCAGCACCTTGACGATCAATTCTGGATAGTAACTGATCAATTTTATCAGTTGTTGTCCTCTGGGTTTCCATAATCTTCGTTATTAGGTTCAATATGTCTGTAACCGTAATAAATAAATCCTGTAAGTAGGCATTAAATAAGAAACTGGGCCCGAATCACGGCTCTCGTGAACGAGTGACCGTTCGAATGTAGTATACTTACTTTTTAGACCATTTAAATAAACTCCGGAAAGGAGACAGAAAATTATTAATAACAAAAAAATGTATCTAGTTTTTAATAAATATTTTTTAATTATTCAGCTGTCACACACTCGAGTTTGANTAATAAATATTTTTTAATTATTCAGCTGTCACACACTCGAGTTTGACAAATAAAAGAAAACTAATTTTTTACAATAGTACAAGTAGAAAATTATTGCACTCGCATTTCTATCACAATATTCTTGCTAATGGCTCGTGCGCTGGTCCGCTGGGAGTGTGCAAAGCTGCTTGATACAATTGGTTGCTACTAAGGCTGTCCGGGATCAATCCCCATCAGACCGAGCATGAAATTTTATTTTTATTTTTTATTCTTAATTATGAAAATGTTTGGATTCAAAATTTAAACCGAACTGTTTAAATTCTAAGCCCAACATATGTGCCCTCTTTTTATACCCGAGCGCACTTGTGCACAAGGGTATTATAACTTTGTTCACATAACGGTTGTTTGTAACAGGCAAAACGAATCGAGATAGATATAGACAAATGTATACATAAATGATCAGAATGAAAAGAGAAATCGATTAAGCGG